CAGGAGTCCTCACTTTCAAAAATATAAGCTGTTCTCTACATGTTATGTAAAAGGTTTTAAGCTTAACTTCTGTTTTTGTTATTGGAGAATTAGTTCATAGCATAGATGGTTTAAAAGATGGCACAGTTACCATGAAGTCTCGTTCCGAGGCTTTGAAATGAGCATTTACACTATTAGCGTCTTGGTTGCAAAACAAACAAACAAACAAACAAAAAAATGCAATCAGATGTAATGGAGAGGGGCAGATCTGACTTTGAAACTGCTTGCTTATCGGTTCGTGACTTGTAATTGACAAGTTATTAGCACACGAGCGTTCACACATGGCTTTCAGATAGGGCAGGGGTGTCAAACTCAAATACACAGTGGGCCAAAATTCAAAACTGGAACAAAGTCGCGGGCTAACGTTAATATTTATTGGAAAAAAAATCTTCCTCCAGATATAAGAATGAATCTTTTCTTATGGACTCAAATAAGTTTTGCTGGAAAACTGAATATGGAACAAGCAAAGCTTAATACTAAACAATATATATATTAGCTGTATAATACCAGTAGGCCATCTCTAATAGTATTTTGGTATGGCTTCGTGGGCCAAATGTAATTAGGCCGCGGGCCAGAGTTTGACACCTATGAGATGGGGATTAAGACCCTTCACAATTGGCCTGGAAGCTACATCCATGTTTTTACACTGTGTTGTTCAGAGGAGTAACCATATACAACTGATGCACTGTAATTCTCTGGAGCAATTAAAATTGCGTATATGTCCTTAGGAATTATTGAGGTATTCTGATTAAGTGGAGCTCTGGTCATTATTTTAATGATTAGACTTATAGTTTGCCCAGTTTGTGTTGCTAATTTTCTCTAATTCCACTAGTGCTGTGGGTCATGCTAACATAGTCTCCTCTCTAGTGATCTTCTAACAGCTATCACACATAAGACTAAGTCTCCAGCTGTCACTCACAAACCCTTTTGGTTCAGTGCTATGACCACTGAGGTTCATGCCAGAACTGATCTTCGTTCACTGTTTCCTTTTCTCCTCCAGGCCAATGAGGACAGTCAGGAGAGTCTGACCTCGTTCCCTCGTCGAGACACTATGGGCAGTTTCCTTCCTGACAGCAGCTCTTATGAGCTCCTTGCTGTTATTGGTAAGTAAAATCAAAGACATGCCTCAACTTAATTCAGTTTTTGTTGGCAGTAACAGATTTGTTTTGCCTGCACTGGCTAAAGAACAGTTTCTTGTGATGTTTTTTTTTTTCTTCATAAAACTAGATCACCTAGGGTTTTTCCTGACTCCTAATGCACCTTTTAAGCACAGCTGGCCTCCATATAGTTAAGGTAGTAGCTTTGGGTGACCTTCATTAATGTCGTTCTTGTTATTTCTGGACATTTGTTAAACAAAATGTATTGATGCTTGAGTAAAGAACACTCAACTTAAAAATAGTTATATATAAACAAGTGGTCAAAGGAACAATAAGCTTTTTCTATAGCAATAAGTCTATCAACTGTTCATTTAAAATTTTTATCACTGCTCTTTTTTTCAGTATTGATCAGAATTTAATCAAATGTACACACACCGTGGTCACCTTCCTGTGAATTATGATAGCTCATGAGCTGGATCTGCTACTATATCAGTAGTTTAGAGTCCTGGTGGTTTTTCCTTCCTTTTAAACTAAAGATGAATGTAATGAATTGTTTTAAGTGTAGCTAAATGTGTTGTTTTGGTTTTTTTACTATTAAAGGTAGTATTTGGATTGTAAATAAAAAGTATTGTTAAGTTGTGTGTGTTTAGCATTTAACAACATACAACAACATAAATATTCAAACAAACAGAACTGGAGGATGACTTTGTCTCAGTGATTTGAATATTGTCTTGTAGGTCGGGGCTTGGACAATTTAATGACTGTTAACCTGGCTCGATATAGACCCACTGGGGAGCATGTGGCCATCCGACGGATTGACTTGGAGTCATGTACTAATGACATGGTTACCTACCTGCAGGTTTGAATCGCTCAATGCCTTCAGTGTGCATGACTTGACTCTTATGTCACCCTCCTCCCCATATTTCATTTTAGTGCTTTATTGAGAATTTATCTGTTTGCCAGCCTCGTAGTCTATTGCATTTTATGTAATCTTCTCCTCCCCATCTTTCGCTCTGACATAATAAGATGTAGTTTCCTTTCTGTCTCACAGGGTGAACTACATGTGTCAAAGTTGTTTCACCACCCCAGTATTCTACCATACAAGAGCGTCTTTATAGCTGAAAATGAATTATGGGTCATCACACCTTTCATGGCTTATGGTAAGAAATCCAATTTCTTACCTTATTGCTGTTTCTCATACGTTATGCAACTAAATTTATGTTAACAATTCATGAAGCGGCCTCTGCTAATGTCGGAGAGCTTTCTAATCACGATCATCTGTTTTTGAATCTTGCAGGGTCAGCCAGAGATCTCATCTGCACACATTTTACAGATGGTATGAGTGAGCTGACTATAGCATACATTTTGCTAGGCATGCTCAAAGCTCTTGAATACATCCATCATATGGGATATGTGCACCGGTAAGACAAGCATGTGGTTTAATGTATATTACCCTGTCATTAAAATACAATCATTCACACCTGATACGATATTGATTATCTTAAATGTTTTGGTTATGCAGGAGTGTGAAGGCCAGCCACGTTTTGATCTCTGCAGATGGACAAGTGTGCATGTCAGGTCTGCGGAGCATCTTTAGCCTCATTCGACATGGCCAAAGGGCCAAAGTGGTCCACGACTTCCCCCAGTATAGCGTTAACGTGCTGCCGTGGCTTAGTCCCGAAGTGCTGCAACAGGTACTACATTTTTCAACACTGTGAATGCTGTTCTGCGGTCACAATGTTAGAGGCTGCAGAACTATAGTTTTCATGCTACATGCACAACGAAAATGAGAAGAGGGGTACAGATGAAACTGACAGTTTCTATTTGATTTTTTTTTTTTTTTTGAAGAATCTCCAGGGCTATGACTCTCGATCAGACATCTACAGCCTCGGGATCACAGCCTGTGAACTAGCCAATGGACACGTTCCCTTCAAAGACATGCCAGCTACACAGGTAAGCAGAGATGTGTCAACGGCCTAAATAGTCTCCTATGTTACATTTTGACTGTAGAAAGTAATTTAATGGTAAACAACAATATTGGTTTTATTTTCATTTTGATCTAAACTGAAGATTAGGGGCAAAGCTGAACACTAAAACCACAAACTCTTAAGGTGTGCAAGAAGGTCATTGGGTTAAACTAATACTAGCTCATTTCCACAGATGCTACTGGAGAAGCTAAACGGGACAGTGCCATGCTTGCTGGATACCACAACTATACCACCAGAGGAGCTGTCCATGAAGCCTTCCCGTTCTGGTGCTGACTCTGGGATCTGTGAGGGTCCAGGACCGGGAGGAGTCCGAAACTCCAACGGTGAACCCTCGTCATCGTCAGGAGGACACCCATACAACCGGACGTTCTCCCCACAGTTCCACACCTTTGTTGAGCTGTGTCTACAGCGAGACCCAGAAAAAAGGTTGGGGAAACTCTCCCTGCATATTTAAAGTATATATGCGATAAATGCACTGCAACTGCTTTTAGGAATGTGTTATGACTGGGACACTAACTGTTTTCCCAATTGCATTTCTTCAGACCATCTGCAACCAGTCTTGTTGGCCATCCCTTCTTCAAACAGGTGTGCAAGATATCGAATTAATTATAACATTTTCACTTGTGTACATGTATCAGTATATAGTATTTAAAGTGTTAGACAATTGTGGGAGAGTTAGAACATTTAAATTTGGTAAATAAGATATGAATTGGTCGTGTTTCAGTTTGTTCTCTAAATCTTTTTGTTTTCTTAGATCAAACGGCGACCTTCAGAGGCCCTACCTGAGCTGTTGCGGCCCGTGTCGCCTATCACCAGCTTTGAAAGCTCCCAGCCTCAGGACTCACCTTCTGGACTTGCCAGTCTGGAGTCCGGTCTCAGCCACCTGGAAGTAGATGACTGGGACTTCTGACAGTGGAGGATTTGGCGGGAAGATGTTCATATGAGAAACTCTCTGAGCAGATGGGACAAGATTAGTTTTTGTTATGGCCCCTATGTATATAATACTAAAAGGAGTGGCTGTTCTCAGACCCAGGTTACAAACCAGCAGCCATCCTGCCTCTTTTGACATCTCTCACGCTTTTGTTCTTTAGATATGCACAAACTCTTGCACTGCACTGATTGCCTATTTGTCTCTCTCTCACACACACACACCTACACCTGTTTACAGATTGTACTCTTATATTACAAGCCCCCTGGAGCTAAAACAAAACAGGACTCTCACTTCCTCATGCTAGTGTTGAGGTCAGAGAGTCTGTGTTTGTAGCCTAAAGAGTCTCACAAAACAAACTGGTTTGAAGCTGCTACTAAATATTCAGAGGGGACACTCTACCTCGTGTGAGAACAGGGCTGCTTGATGCGGCCCATATGCTCAGTGAGGCCATAATGGCGCACAGCAGTCCTCACAGCTGACTCAGTTAGTCTTCTGCACCAGATGGAAGGTTTTGCGTTTACCCGGAGGGTCAATTAAATTAACAGCATGTAAACACATTTCTTAGCTCTACTTGTGTTACAGTGTAAACTACATTTCATGTTTCAGGCAACTGTTCTGTTGCACAGAGGTTAAGATTAACGTGTTAGTTTAACCATCAAAGCATAGACGTATGTATTTGCTTGAACTTACTCTGGGTATTAACTCATGTCAAAAATGAATGTTTTATTGGTGCTTGTTTTGTCTGCATGTATATTTGAAAGTGAGGGCAAAGCAATGTGTTGCAAAACTCAAACTTGACTTTTAACAATAAACGTGGTTGACGTTAATTTTTTATTTTGATGGCACCACACAGTGAGGCTGTAAACCTTGTTTAAAAAATGTTTTATTTCAATTTTACACAGACAAACACGTAAGGGGAGGCTGGAAATGTTTGGATTTTGCTAATTGTCTTCATCGGATGGTGGTTGGTCTGTCATGGCATTGTGCTTCTCCAGCTTAGCCATCAACTCTGAGAGGGGAAAAAGGTAAAATAAAACATGATTAATGGGTATTATTAAGTTGCACTGATTACAATACTATCTTACAACCTTGATTATACTTATTGCGGTCAAAGACAGCTGGAAACCTGGTGGCCGAGTAATCATTGCTGTTATACTTTGAAGCCCGTCGCATGCATAGTTGACACATTTTTATGTAAATTCTCCACACCCGAGTGTGCAGTGACAAAAAGTAGGCAAACACACATCTGCATGGACTCCTTCACTCAAAGTCTAAAGCCAAAATTTATTTCACTCGTAACTGAGCGGACCCAAGGATGCAGAAAGGACAATCAAGACATTTAAAGAAGTCGTCTGTTTTATAGAGATCTTGCCTACCTTTAGCAGGATTGAACACTCCGTGGGTTTGAGTATCGCACACATAACAGCGCTTGGACTTGCGGTAATGCTGAAGTGCACAAACCTCACAAAAGAAGTGCCTGCACCTGAGAGACATTAGACTTGTTAATGTTTCCAAAAACAGGGAACAGCTTGGCAAGGAAAAAAATGACATTAAAGTCTTACTTTGTGACTACGGGATTCTTATAGGATTCCCGGCAGATGAAGCACTTGAAGGGCAAGTCTTCCTCATCACTGCTTACTTCATAGTTCTCTTCATCTAAATAAAAATAAGACAGCGTTCAGGAAAAGATCGTTTACAGTAGGAACAAAAATGCAGTTCCTTCTCAACTCACCATTGGCTCCATATCGTCCCTCTTCCAGTTCCCTCTCAATCTGCCAGCCATGTTTGTAGTCTGATCTGTCGTGAAGAAACTTGCAGCTGTCTGATAGGAGAGATGATCATGAGGAAGCTTTATTGAACGACCAGTATTTTCTTAAATGTCTCACACACACTACAAATTGCTCTAATCTATAGATAAATAGAATAAAAAACACAACTCAATCGCAATGAAAAAAGGTCTTAAGAAAAAATATAAGGTTTTATGAAAACCACCCAAAAAAGTGTCTGCCAAAATTTTTCTTGTAAAGGCTTTGGCACAGTTGCAGTCACACTTGTGCCACCTGATGCATTTATACACGTAATAGTTTAATTTCCCACAAAACAAAAACAATACCGGAATAAAAACAAAGTTGTAAGGGAATTTGATATTATTGCCATTAACTTTTCCCTGATTTTCTGTCGTTTTTGTGAATTTCCCTTTTTGTCATAGTGACTTCTTTTAAACAAAATACTGCATGGTTTGACTTCCTGAAAAATCCAAATTCTTAAGTTCTCCCATTACATCACATGTTAAAAGTGTTTTCTCTTATAAACCCAGACCATTTGAAAGCAGTGAGTTTAATGTCATGTATAAGAAACCTGTTTGAGCTTTGTGACGTTTCGTTATTGTGCTGGGAGCAAAGTCTAAAGATGCGCTGTGGTCATTAAGAGTATGACATGGTCAGCAACAATACTCATATATGCTGTGGCATTTAAACCAAACTCAACTTGTACTAAGGGACCCAAAGTGTGCCAAGAAAATGTTTCCCAACAATATTACACCAGCAGCAGCAGCATGAACTGTTAATACAAGACAAGATTCTTCTATCGTCCTGGTTAGAGTGAGCCTGTGTGAACTGTAGCTTGAGTTTTCTGTTCTTAGCTGTCACCAGTTCAACCCAGTGTGGTCTTCTGTTGCTGAACCTCCATCTGCATCAAGGTTTAACAGTTGTCCATTCAGAGATGCCCTTCTGCGTAATGTGTGGTCATTTAAATTACTGTTGCCTTCCTATCAGCTCAAGCAGTCAGACCAATCTCTGATTTCTGCCATCAAAAAGGGAAGTTCACCTGAAGAACTGCAGCTCACCTAATATTGTAAACCAGTCTCTGTAAACCCTAAAGGTGGCTCTGTGGGAAAATTCCAGTGCATCTACATTTTCTGAAATACTCAAGATCAGCTTGTCTGGCACCGACAACAATGCCACATTTGAGTCACATAAACCAAATTTCTTGCCTGCTTCTATGTGGCTGAATAGATTTTTGAACCGACAAGCAGTTGAACAGATACACCTATTGAAGTGGCCAATGAGTGTATGTTGTTCTAACTAGTGGGAGGTTTTACTTACATTTGTCCCATTTAACACGTAACATTTAATCTGAGTTGTTTTTCTTCCTCAATAGATGGAGGGAAGTCATTAAAAAGACATTAAAATGAAAAGTGTTTGATTAATTATACAAAAGACATGTATTTTAAAATATCATACCCACCTCCAAAACCACAGAAACCAGTCTCCTTGTAGTCTTTGCAGATATCTGGCTGGTAGTCCCATCTGACTGTGGCTCGCAGATGTTCAGGGGCTCTGATTGGTCCTTTTCTGTTAAAATGATTGAACTGAATTATACATATCAGTATTAACTAATTACATTTCAGAACTAAAAAAAAACCAAAACTGCATCAGTGATAGATCATCAACCATGCACCATCATAGGAAAGTCTTGAGCAGATGGAGCATTATTTAATGTCTATTTCAAGCCCCTTAAAAAGCTCAAGATTTCCTTTGTCTTTGTGGTTTATTAGCACTTTTAATGATACACACATCCACAAGAGAAGTGCATTTGGTGTTCTGTTTACTTTTATTTTTTTAATGACACAATGTGACTGTGATGGAATGGATAAGCCTCGCCTTAATGCTCACCTGACCATGCCAGAGGAGGCATTGCCCATAGTTGTGTCTTTAGGCTTGATGAATTTTTGGTAGTTGTTGATGCCACGGTAGATTTTATCATCATCTTTACCTGTCAGTTCCTATTACAAGAGGAAAAAAAGAACATTAGTTCAATATTTAGTTGAAACTACTGGACTTTTTTTTTTTTAATTTTAGCACTCAAGTCACAATTTGTGAATATGAACAGAACAGTTTTCCAACTAAGTCATTATATGATAGGAGTTGTAGCCTTTTCTACAAGGCTTTAACATTAAAAATAGCATCTACTACCTCTTGGATTTTCTGACTCCTTTCAAAAATGGCCTGGGCATCTTTGTCTTTCTCTGTGTCCAGCTGATATGTAGCAGTTGCACCCATGTCCTCCGGTCCCTCTGGTTTCTTGTTTTTGGATAGGATTGGGAAAAAGATTTACATTAAATACTTATATGTGAGCACATCAATAAGTTTGCAAGACTGTGGCTCTTAAGCAGTATACAGGAGAGGGAACACACACACACAAGGCAAATCAGAAGAGGCCAAATCAGCATGCATACAGATGAAACAACAAAAAGGTTGGATACCTTGCTCATTCATATCCCCTTTACTTTTAAAGGACAGCCTTTAAAAAGTCAGTATGATAGAAAAAGTCAACTCACCGCTGATCGTGTGGACTTGTAGGAAACAGTCATCTTCTTGTCTTCTTTCTCATCTTCACTTTCACTGGATGATACAGCATCTCTCTCCACTTTCTTTGTCTGGACAAAAATCCCAAAACAAAAACAGTCACCTCTGTCTCATTTGAGGCTACTGTCATAGCAGTCTTGTCTGCAAATGTGTGTTTGCATGATTAGATTTATCAACTTTTTCAAAATATCAGGTTTGCCCAAATTCTAAATGTAAAAAGAAAAAGCTATATATGCATTAACATAACACACTTTTAAATACTTTAGTACTCTTGTAAATCTAAATGCAGATTTAGACTTTTGCAAATCTAACTTTGTACCAGCTGATTCTGGATACATACTTGCCGTTTCCAGTGCACGTTGAGGTACACAGTGATTAAAACAGAAAAAAACCAATTCTCGACAAACACGTGTCAAAAAAATATAAATAATAAAAAATAAATAAATAATCCCCTAATTACCCTCTGAATCATTGGGTTGACGCGAGTTTCTTTCTTTTCTTTTCTCACAACGAGGGTCTGGTCCTCATCACTGTTTTCATCTGAAAAGGACATGAGTGAGATACATTTGGTGAAAAAATCTAGTAACTTGCCCAATAACTGACAGCAGACTTGCAAAATCTTAGAATAATCTCGGAGTTAACTGGGAGGACAAAAAACAGCAGGCGCATCCAGTGTTCCAAATTCCGAGGAAAGGTAAACGAGGCACGAATGTGAAATTTGTTTATAACAGGAACAAAATATGTGTCATCTGCGGTACTTTACATCGTTTCTCCGATTTTTGGAATCAGATACAGTAGTTTTGCCTCTTCCCGTGTTAATAACACAGTGGTTATCTGTAAAGGACTACGAGAACAGAAACAAGTAGTCGATCATTAAAAAGCTCGAGCGCTGTCGGCACCGGAAGTTCACTGGGCTTTAAATGATCAGAAAGTGAGTTAAATAACAAACCTTTCTCGCTATCGCTTGCTTTTCTCTTTCGCCCAGAGAATTTCCTATTAGATTTTTTAAACAGAAAAGTGCAAGATCCCTCCCGAGGCTTCTCCGATTCCGCCATCTTGAATCTGTTTTGTAAATATCTGCTCTCGCCACAGCACCCTCTAGTGTCTAGGAGTCATCTTAAGTTAGTCCCTGTACTGGCCAAAAGGAGAATCACACCTGTCCATTTACTCAGGCATTGTAAAGTTAGATTTAAAAAGACAACAATGATACTTCAGTGAGAAAGTGGCTGCAATTTTTGCGAGCCAGTCAATCAAAGATTGCTCAATGATATTTACCTATTTCATATTTAAAAATAATTCATGAGAATTTAAGTTATGTCTTGGAAATCTTTAGAACTCTATGAAGTGCTGTTATGTTTTTAGAGCTGTGCCAGAACACGTTCGTCTGCCAAAGGGGGATTTAGATACTTGTCAAAAAGTTATAATTATTTAAACTGTTTTAAATGACTTGTTGGTCTATAATCTATCAAATAAATTGCAAAAGTTTCAGACCAGGCACAAGGTAGGAGCTGCAGGAAGTAATTGGCTAAGTTACTCTTAGACAGTGACTTCCTTTATTTTTCCAGGTAAAAAGTCTAACTGATATTAAAAATATCTTTTTCAAAACATGTTTGGTCAAAGAGGGCTTTGGGGATTACAACAAATGTAAAAGAACAGTTCTATAAAGATATTTTAAGCAGCAAAAAAGGACTGGATTGATTATAATGCAGGACGCAGAGTAGCTACAATAACGCAGAGTCGAGATACTTGCAAAAAAGGTCATTTCTTTATTTTATATTTAGCCCTTTGAAAATTCTGTTGACCCCAGCCTATCTGCCAATGTAAGGCAAGATATAACACATACAAACACATAAAAACATCAGCAATCACTTTTTTTGCCTGACACCGGAAGACTGGAAATTCCAGTATAATTCATGAATCTGTGATGAAAACGGGAAGATGGTTTTATTTTGTAAGTTTTAACCGGAATGTGCACTGATAAATACGTGTAACTTGGTTCTAGTCTCTTAGATCCCGTCCTCCTCCTCTTCCAGCAGCGACTGTAGCAGCATCCGTGACTCCCCGCAGAGGACGGCCGGTGTTTGTAGGACTCAGGGCCCGCGGAGGGAGAGGTCCTGGCCTGGGCACGAATCCCGAAGAGGCCCCGGGGCCGCCGCTGGATGGAGTCGGGCTGTATACAGACAGCAATGGCTATGGGTCTGACATCGAAAAAGGCGTCTGCTCGGAGCGTCTGCGTGGAGCGAAAAAACCTCATCACGGTCTGCAGGTATACATCACGACACCACCGACGTGCCGTATTTATCAGTAGGAGCCTGTCCTTGCAAGCTGTTCGGGTTATAGTTTCACCAGTATGCTCATCATGAAGGTTTTTTTTTTCATCCAAGAATTCCACCCCTGCGTTCATTCCCAAAGTGAAACAATGGCAGCAACATAAATGGAAAATATTACAGAAAAAAGGGCCACATTTCTAGAAAGGCGAGGGTTAAGGAGGGGGCAGGTGCGTGTTCACCTTCACGTACCTTCTGTCATCACACCCAGTTTAATAGAAACAGTACACAGTAGACTACAGAAACCACTCAATTATCCAGGGTTTGTTTTTAAATGCTTGTTTACGGCTTGCAGGGCTTCTTTTTTCTTTCTTTCTTTGCTATGATGTTAATCTATTAATTCTGTCTGTCGTTTAAAAGTACAGTCCCCTGCGTGTTTGTTTCTATAGCAGGAAATGCACCTTCAAGTGATTCAAGTGATGAGTGTTGCAAAATCAATTGCAGAATAGGGATGAAGGGAAGATAAGCCAGTCAGCAGCAGGTCTCCTCCTCCATCATGGTGAGCTTCAGTGCCTGAATTGGACAAGGGCATTTGGGGCAGTGCAAGGACTCCTCCCCACATCAGGGGCCCTCCATCCTTCTCCATCCAGCCTAGAGATGGCCTCTGACTGATTGGCTCTAATAAATCACTGTCTTCTGCAGTGAGGTTAGCACTGTAAATGTGTGAGCTGACAGCTCACACAACGAGAGCTCTTCAGCTGCACAGTAAGTGCAGTTTTATACAATAATGTAACACCCTCCTGGTTCCAGTCTGCACATTATTACATCACGTGTGATATTTAGAGCTTTAACAGCTTCCATCCTTTTTGACCAGAGGCTCTAATTTGCATGCTTCCATGTGAGACCAATGTTTATATTCATATAGAAACAATAAATGTAGCAAGACTATTAAAAATAGCCCAGAAATCTTTTTTCTCTTTTCTCTTTTCTCAGCACTTCATGACCTCCTTGCATTAATTTTGTAACCTTTCAAATTAGGCACCCCTGATGTAAAAGTAACTCTGCTCATTTCACTGAAGGCTAATTAACTTTTGGACCATGTTATCACAAGTTCTCAGAGGCCTAGGTGCTATTTTCTCAGACGTCTTTTGCACAAATAATCATCGCATCCCAAAGATGGACAACCTAATACTGTACAAGTCTAGAAAAATGCCACAAATATCCACATCTCAGATGTTTTTTTGCCTTAAAATAACTTGAACTACCCATTTTGTAAAAATATGTTGCTGATTATTTTCCTTTCTCTGACATAACTAGGTTATAGTGACCTTATCCTACTTTTGGAGTACTAGTTAATTATGTGATACCCACAGAGACTGGCAGGAAAATGCTGCTTTGATCATGTTGTTTTGCTCTCATAAAATTTACTACTCCTCATCTTGAATTGCAAATTGACTATAATCATAAAAAGTGTTCATAAAAGTGGCATCATGCGTCTGAGCTCTGCTGTATTTCTTGTAATTTATTGCACCGTAGTGCTAGAAACCACCAATTAAAACAGAAAAGGACTCCAACATGGACTCACAGTCAAGCATTTTTATTCCAGTACCTTTATATCGAAGGTCCTGCCTGCGTTTTAGTGGCATGTACAGTGAGGCAAAAACACACAACATCACAGAGAGCATGCATGCAAAGAAAGAAAAGTTCTCACAGTGGACACAGACAAGGATTAGCAGGGACACAAAAACACCTTTGTTTTCAGTTTCTCCTGACCGTGCTAAGACAGATTTAATCATTTAAGCGTTTTAAAGACAAAGAAACTGGACAAGACAGAAATAAATCTCAAACAGCTTTCCATCAGTAATGCTTACTACAACAACTTTTTTCCATTTTCTAATGAACAACATGACATTGATTAGGTTCACTTCGAGGGCAGTTTCTTCTTGGCATGTCCAAGTTGCTGCCCGATCTCCCTGCTCATGGTGTTTTGGACCTTTTTCATGTTGTTCAGGTCAGAGCTGATTCACAGGCTGCTCGCTGATCGGATAATGAGGAGAGAGCCTGAATCAGCACCGTCCCTCTGGCTGTGCATTAGTGCAGGCAGGGCATCGTGTTGCACGATTCAGGATCCAGGCTCTGTCGCGGTTGTTGAGATGCAGCCATTCCCACAGCTGAGTTTGTGACATTAGTGCTTAATTAGTTCACCAGGCCAAGCTATTATTTACCCTAAGTGTGTGTGTGTGTGTGCGCATTTACTGCATATATAAAGTCTGCCCTCTTTTTTTTTCTTACTGCAACATCATACATGTTTAACATACAGTCAGCACACACAGAGATTAACATTTCTACTCCCAACAATTCCTTTAATGTGTTGGCATCAAAGTCCCGGTTAAAAGTGTGTACACTTGATCTGGCATGATGTGGGTCACGAGTACCAGCCACAGAAATCTGACTGATCTTTGCTCAGTGTTTCAGTGTCAGACCTAACAGACCAATCCTATTTTAATGAGACGTGCTGTATCTACAGAGAAAAGAATGGACAAAAAAAGAATAACAACAGAGAAAAATAATAAGAGATGGCTATTCTAAATAGTAAGTAAGAAGAATGCTCCTTATTTTTAGGTTAGGGGGACTTTTGAATTGCCAGACATCCCAAAAAGTATCTGAAAACCCAAAAAATCTTTTTAGGGCCACGTAGAGACTTGATATTTATGACATCCACAGTGGTATCAGTATCGTACTGAGCTGGACTGTTGTCAATAGCAACAGGGTTCATCTAAATGTGGCTTTTTGCAGCGAGTGGAGGACATTCGTGCAACTCTCGGATTAGTGTTGTTTATCTGAGCTCAGTTTGACAAAATGTTTGGGGATCAGAAGAAGGAAACCAACCGGCTTGTGTTGGTTTGTTTTTAAGGGCGCTTTCCATCCGTTAATGTTTAAAATTGAATGTTTTGCTGCTTTTTTTAGTCTGGCTAAGAGCTCTCTTGCTGCAGTCCGTGACAGGAGAAACGGTGCTACTGTAGGCATGGTGAACCTGAGAAAAAAATAGATAAGATGAGTGAGACAAGTCTGATGTGAAGAGGTATCCATGCAGCCGCTTCCTGTAAACAAAGAGAGCTGGGAGAGAGGCAAGAAGGGAGGGCGATGTGCTGCATGTTGGCTGAGCTCTGAGGCCTTCTGGGGCGTGGCTCAAGAGAAGAGAATAAAATGTTCTGAACTGTAGTAAAGCACGCCTGTTAGACGTGCATCGGCAAGAGAGTCAACGAATATTTGAATCTACGTGTGCAGATGGAGTAACACTAATTTTAATCGTTCAGCTTCCGTGCAGCCTTCTTTTGCATTTTTCCTGATTTCTGATCCTACGCTTTTTTCTTTTCTTTTTTTAATTTTTCTTTTTTTTTACCAACACCGTCAAGTATTTGAAATTACAGCAGAAATGTCTAGAAGTTTGGCTGAACACTTGGACACCACTCATCAGCTGATCTGTCTACACTCTCACTGTTAACTTCTCCTGTTATTCCTCATTTTTACCCCTCTGTCATACTCTAATATCTGATTCACACTATCTGTGCTTCTCAACACCCTCACTGTCCGTCGTACGCCGTGATCCCTCTACACCTCCTCTGACCATGAAACACTTCCTGGACACTTGGTCACAGAGGGGTTCGGTGAGAGAGAGACACACCCTGCTGTAGTTGTTTTTTTTGTGTGTGTGGTTTTTGTTTTACTTTTTCTTTTTTTTCTTTTTTTTTTTCGTCATTGAGGATTTGGCCCAAATTGTGATTTGAAATATTCTTCGGAGCACAAAGCCTTTTCTTTTTCATGCCAGTCCAGTGCAGGACGCCTCCCCCGACAGTCCACGATGATAAACACAGCACTGGCTGGCGTTGTGCAATGCTTCGGCCAGTGAGGAGTTCACCTGTGTCATCTGATCCTGCTGGTTATGCCAAGGCTAGAAGACAGAGACAGAAATAAGAAGACAGAGAAAGTAGTCAGGGAAATGCATGTGAGGGAAAATAAATAAAAATGAAAGTCGAGAAAGTTAACGTGAAGCTTTGTGTTTTTAGGTTAGACATCTTTGCTGATGAATGCAGTTTTGGTTATCCCGTGTCGTGCTGCGGATCAAACGCAAGTTTGTAAGTACAGTAGAGGGGTGAGAAAGGAGAACAAGAGGGCATTTAACAAGAGTTGAGAGTGTGCTTGGCATTGATCCAGGCTGAGTGAGAGGTTGCACAAAAGAAGCTTGTCAGAAGGCCCTGCAGTTGTTTTTCAGTGTCAAATCGTACCAAGAACATGTTGCTATTCCACTCCATCCATTTGCATTTGAGGCACGCCAGAGATTCCCCTTCAGATCAAAGGACTTCAGTTAATTTACAATCATCTGTTATAATATTCCTGTTAAGATAACGTTGCTCTCACATTATTAGGTCAGACAGGTTTTTTACAGCTGTTGATATTTTGTTTTTATGATTTTAAATGCTGTAACTTTTGCTAACAAGAAGCTGTTACATGTTGGTTCGTATACTGAGCGTCCAGACCCACTGCTTGGGTTTCCATGGCATCTAGGCTCTGCACAGTGAGAAAAGATTTGATGTAATGCATTTTTCTGACTTGGAAGCATCATAAAGAGGAATTGTACTGTGAATTTGGGTGAATACGATTTACTGTTCACTCATTATCTCATATTTTTGACAGATTAGTACATTTCAAATTTTCTAACTTTTCTTCCTGATGGGATCCCTTTAGACAACATCAGGTAGTATGTAGCCGATTATTTTGTGAAGCTAAATCGTAGCTGTCGCCCCCGGTCCCAACACACAATATTTGTGCTTATTTTGCAATACCCACCAAGTGGATTTTTTTTATTCAGCAAAAGCAGTTTTAGCTGCCCAGCTGAAATAGGGAACACACTTGAAGAGATTCAGCCTAACATTCTGGATTTCTGGATCTATTATCCATTAATCTGCTGATCTACATGTTTTTTCAAACATTTTATCAGACAAAATTCAGATGCCACTAACCTGTTTCTTTGATAAATCCAAAGTGACCTGACAAAGTCAAGGCTCGAAAAGTAAATTTAATCCAGTTTTTGCTCTCAGTGCTGATTCCGTCGTGTTATCCATACGTCCTCTCTGATGATTCTTATTTTGAGTCAGTCCCCCCACCCCGTGATGCCGTCTTCTCTCATCTAGAGCGTCTTGCGTTTGGGGAAGATGGCTTTCCGGAAAGAGGTGCTGGTGGTACCTCTGCTGAAGGACGCACTGCCCAGCGAGATCTTGGTTTTCCCACTGGTGATAGTGGAGGAGCCCAGAGATGTTGTGCTCCTGCCCCGGGTGATGGAAGAATTCCCCATGGCAAGCTTGGTCTTCCCCCTCTTTATTGTGGTGTTGCCCAGGGTTAAGGCTGTCTTCCCCTCCGTGAAGCTGGTGTTGCCCATTGAGGAGAAGCTTGTCTTCCTGACCCAGATTCGACGGCAGGGTTCGGGACTCACTAGACGCAAAGCATCGCACACTCATGCAGCACTCTATGCTCTGCAAGCCCTCGGGAGTAATAGTAACATCAACTACAATCCAGAGTGGACCAGAATGCTAAGCGTGGATAGTGCGACCCCCGTGTCGCATAATGCCTTCGTTGAGCTCTTCAACGTGGGCTTTGGAAGGCCACATACCACCCATGTGTCCCTGTGAATGGACAGAGGCAGCCGTAGGTGGCCACAGCCTATCTGGGGGGACTGGGACAGTAAAGCGATTGTCCCAGCGCCACGACGACACCGGACGGTTGAAGGAGACATTGTTGCAAAGAGGACAGTCTGTGGTGACATCACTTTCTTCTGAGCCATTGTTCCCTATAGCCTGTGATTGTAAGATGTTCCCTTTGTGTACAACTGTATGCACCATATGTGAAATGAGTTGTACCGTGTTGTTTTAAAGGAAAGGGACGCTGAATGTGCTCATGTTCTCCATATGTATGTGAAGCTTTGATTGCACCTCTTCTGGATTTGTGCCGTCCCTCCGTTTGGAATATGGGTGTGGTTCCTTCAGTTGGTGTTTATTATCCATTTGAAATCTTGCTGAACTTTTTGAACTCGTGCAAAGTTTTTATTTTCCTCCCCTTTAATGTGTTACAGATCTTGAAATGTCTACATACAAAACAGTCAAGCTCATCAGTGTTTAGACATGTTACTTTTATAAGCACTGTTACATCGATCAACCTTTACAGTCTTGGGGGTGAAAACTGGATTTGCAGTGTGGGAGCTTAGTTATGGAAATGTGAAGTATCAGTCAGTCTTAGCAGCAGAAAAAAATACCACATTCAAACCAACGATGCGGACGTGTTGATGCACAACATGCAGGAGAAAAGTGCTGATGAAGAGCACACACATACTCTTCTGTCTCCACATGCATCACACACATCCCCTCCCTGCCAAGTCAACACACCATAAATCGTCATTTCATCAATGTCACATTTGCATAACATGCTCAGCACTACTTTGGGAATGGGACGGCTCGCTTTTGATTGCGAACCTATTAGATCTGCAGGTCATTATCATTTTTTTATACACATCATAGACATAGCAGCTCTTTTTATTGATTTTGAATCACTACTGACCTTCTAAAACAGACCATATAGATATATCCATGGGTTTTTAAGTATGTGCAGGATTCAAGTGTGAAAATCCCAGTAGATGTTGCTATGCGTTTCTTTGCCCCTGACGAGAGTGGTTTTGAACACAGACACAGACTTGGTCCCATGGGTGCAGGTCAGGGTGGTGAGAGAGCTTGTAGTCTCTCCTCGTGAAACAGAGGTATTGCCCACTGCTATGCTGCTTTTGCCCAAAATTGTGGTGGTTCTGCTCCAGGAGATCGAGTATTTACCCCAGGAGATGGTGTACTTATTCCTCAGGATAGAAACCCTCCCTTTGGTGAAGGAGGTTTTGCTTGACGAAAATGTAGTTTTCCACTCATTGTTAGAGTCTTTTTTGGACTGCTTGGCTGCTTTGGGTGTCTTAGCCCTGGCTTCGGGGGTCCTTTCCATTTAGGTGTTCCTCCGCTTGGACGTCAAGGCTTTACGGAAGGAGGTGGTAGTGGTTCCCCGGCTGAAGCTGGCCCGTCCCAGAGCCACAGTCGTCTTTTGCCTTTGGATGGTGGAATCTCCCATGGAGGTGGTGGTCACTCCCCTGAAGATGGAGGAGTTGCCTAAGGAGACTGTAGTCTTTCCCCTGGCTATGGAGGTGTTTCCCACTGCCAGGGCAGTCTTGCCCTCTGTGATGCTAGTGTTGCCCATCGAAGCCGAGGCAGCCCGCCCGAGCCTGTGCCTGGATGCCCGCTCCTAACATGCACGCTGCATAGCGTTCCTTCTGTGGTGCAGCCGGTGGGGTGAGCATGTGAGGTCAAAAGCCAAGCTAAAGCTCCAGCAGCTGCCCTAAATAGATCACACCACAATGTATAGATAAGGGGGAGGGAATTATTTGATCATTCTTTCATGCTCGTCGGTCCCTCAGAGAGACAAGACCCAAAGGGACCTGGAAGCACAGCACGCACAAAGGCTGTAAAGACAGGGAGTTAATTGTATTGTTTTCATGATAACACTGCCAAAGCACTGAAGGGGTACATTGTGCAGTACACAAGACAATTGGGGTGACCTCAGTATGATAAGATGGCGTAGTTCCCAAAAAAAGAAGAAAAAAAATCCTCTCAGCTGTTGTTCAAATACAGTAGTACATTTGTCTGCTTGGTTACAGTACACAACTGCATTTCATGTGCAGCACAGCCAACTAAGAGTCCAAACCCCTCACACATTGCCATCAAAGTGTGCAGTATTTGTCTAATTTTTCTTTCTCGGTGCACTTCTATTTCAGATTCTCCGTAAAGACTCTCCTCGAAAAGTACACAGCAGAGCCCATAGATGACTCATCTGAGGAGTTTATCAACTTTGCTGCCATTTTAGAGCACATCCTCAGCCACCGCTTCAAAGGTAACACTGCAGGTAACATACAGGAAAGATGGACAAAGTTAATATGACTTTCATTGTGAAACAGTCGAAATATATTTGAAATAAAAATGCAGCAGGCATTCTCGTCAAAAAGCCATAAAATGGGTGCGATTACACAGTCAGCTGGATTGTTGCTGTGGGTGCATATTTTAGTTTCACTTGCTGTCAGAACACAAATGATTGATTGGTGTGTTTTAATATTAAACCAGGTTCTGGCAGCTGGTTCAGCTCAGATGGACAGCGCAGCTTCTGGGAATACATCCGGCTGGCGTGCAGCAAGGTGCAGAACAACTGCATCGCCAGCATCGAAAACATAGAGAACATCAGCACATCACGAGCCAAGGCAAGGAGATTTGTATGCACTCTAGTGTGTGTGCGTGTCTGTTTGTGTGCGGATGAGTGTGAGAAAAGGTCCTCTGTTCCCACTCGCTAATGCGTCGTCCTACAGGGCCGGGCGTGGATTCGAGTGGCGCTGATGGAGAAACGTCTCTCTGAATATGTGTCCACTGCTCTCAGAGACACAAGAACAACAAGGTTTGACTGGATTCTTAATTTAAACTAAACCTTTGGTTTAAAATGATCCCCAGTCCTGTTTTCCTTCACTTCACATTCAGCGTCTCAATACGAAACATCGCTTCTATATACAGGGTTTTACTCCTATGAAAATGAATGTAAATACTCAGTATGATAACTAGAAATTCGGAAGTGATAATCACCTCTTTACTTGGCAGGAGGTTCTATGATGATGGTGCCATTATGTTGAGAGAGGAGGCCACAGTGCTGACTGGCATGCTGATTGGACTGAGTGCCATTGACTTCAGGTGAGGTGGAGCTGTGCAGAGACTGTGACACAGAACACAATATATTTTGAAAGAAGCACAGACACCAGCCCAGGCATTTTAAAATCAATATGGTATTACATGGAATGTGGTAAGCTATCATAAAGTGGAGCTATTATCCTTTCATTATGCTTTTTCCTTATTTTCTGTAAAATATAATGCCCTGCAAAAGTCCTAAGGTACCTCTCATCACTTTATATTTTTCCAGGAAAACAGGAAATAGGTGGAAGCACATGGAATTAGAGGATATAAGGCAAAAACCGAGTTTGTACAATTCTAACAGGCTTGAAAGTCACATTGACTTTCAAGCCTGTTGTGACCACTTTTTTTTTTTTTTATTTAGAGCCTGGACTCTCTTAGCCAAGCTTTCTTGTCATTTCTTTAAGTAGTCCTCAGGAGTAGTTCTCCAGGCTTCTTAAAGGACATTCTTTTTTGGATGTTGACTGCCTTTTGATGATGACCCCTCATGTCTTCAGTAAGGTTGAGGTCCAGGCTCTGTTGAGGCCATGGCTGATAGTGTTCCATTGTGTGTTTTCTATCCAAGTATGCTTTTACAGCATTGGTTTTGCGTTCGGAATCATTGTCGTCCTGAAAAATGAAACTATTGCCAATCAGATGGTGTTGCATGATGGATCAAAATCTGTTGGTACTTTTCTGCGTACATAATGTTTTGACAAGATCCCAAACGCCACTGGATGAAATGCAGGATGGTTTACTGATAAGAATGACTTCTTGACAGCCACTCTTCCACTGAGACCATTTCTTGTGAGACTGAACAGTAGATGGATCAGCTGGAGCGCAAGATGTATCTCTCATGCTCGTTGTCAAGTCTTTGCTGGATGTTTTTTTAACTATTTCTTATGGGCTTGACTTATAGATACTTGTTGATAATTTGTCAAGTTTCTATAATTTTGAAGGACACGCTGCACTCCCACCATGCTGAGATATACCAAGTGTTTAGCCAATAGCTCTTTGGGAATCACCTTGTTGGTGCAAAAATAAAACTGTGTTGTCTGTGGCATTTTTTTTATATATTCAACTAAATAAACTGGAACAAATGATGTGTTGTTGCAGCAGTCTGAGTAACAAAGTGCCTAAAGATACTATTTTAAAACCAGTTCTTTGCTAAGTTGTCTGTTATGTGTGGATACAACACTTCTTTGTATTAAGTAATTAAGTAAACACTTAACACTAAACACAACTTAACAAAGAGTCTTTGAACTCTCAACAAAAATTCTTTGAAAGACCTTCAGAAAGCCTGAAAAACTTCTGCACAAGAACACTTTAAAAAATCCAAAAAGTCTGGCTTCTTGGAAGTAAAATGTAAATGAATGAAGTGTTGCTCAAAGCCTTTGCACAGCAATATATATACTGATACAGTGGTGAATACTAATACTAATCATGGCCAAAGTTTCAAATAAATAGGTCAGCTTTTGAACCAATAAATCGTTTTAAATGTTTGCTGTCAGACAATTTTTTTGCCTTAGTGTTTCATCTACATGCCTTTAATGTTGTGATCTAATTGACATTGTTCTGGGATGGGAGCCAATTAAATTGGCCAAATTGTCTCAAGGGAGAGTAGCTAAAACAGCTTGTTTTCGACAGTAAATAAAAGGTTACTACTGTAGCAGAGTCCAAGAATAATCCTACTTAGGTGAAAATGAGCATATAGGCCCCCTTTGTGTATGTTACCTTGTGTATGTCATCTTTTTAGGTCTGCTATATAATTTTTTTAAGCCCAGTATTTATAGTGGGCTTAAAGCTGTCATCTGAATCTGAGCATAGTACCTAGTAATGCATCAAATTTTCCAGTAGTGTAGGCATGTTTATTAATGGATAATGTACACAGCACTTTCCATTTCTTTTTCTTTTTTATTTCTTTCCGTGTAGTTTTTGCCTGAAGGGCGAGACTCTGGATGGGAAATCCTCGGCTGTGATTGATTATACGCCCTACCTGAAGTTCACTCAGAGGTGAGCGCTCATCATGCCACTTCTAACAATGCATGCATGCATGCATGCACAGGAATGGGGTCACATTAATACTCCAGCCTCTCTCTTGTTTAGCTATGACTACCTTAGTGATGAGGAGGACCGGCGCAGTGTTGACAGCAGTAACAGCGAGGAGAGCGTCCCTGAGCATCCCTACATCCCTCTGGTGACAGACGAGGAGAGCTGGAGCAACAAGTGTCGCAAGATGGAACAAAGATTTAAGATTGTCTATGCTCAGAAGGTGACTCATAACAACATTACATATCTGATCATTGCTATGAGCATCGGCAAAGAATTACCTGCCTCATTCAATATGTGTTATTCAGGGTTATCTAGAGGAGCTGGTGCGCCTGCGGGAGTCACAGCTGAAGAACGTAGAGACGGAGAACAAGCGTCTGAGAGCCAAGGTGGAGGAGCTGACAGTGCAGAGCCAACAGGAGAAGAAGGAGCTGGAAGCCATTGTGCTGGAGCTGCAGGCACAACTGTGAGTTAGCACATACAAGCTTGGCGTTACATTTGTTCGTTTGCTCTTTCTCGCACAAAGATTTCCATTATGCAGTGTATTTACATGTTGGGCCAAGTTTAAAAGGGGAGCTAAAACTATTGTTTTAATGTAACCTCACAGCTTGGGACAGTTAGATTCTGACTTTTAGTTGACATAACAAGTTTGCTTCTGCTTAGAAGAATAAAAGACACTATTACACTGGCTTCTGACGCTGTCCTCATGAAGAGACTGCAAAGGTTTATGTCTGTAATACTTTGAATATATTTAAATGTTGTAGATATAATATAAAGAAACACAACCTGACAAAAAAACCTGCTTCTTTCAATCCCCAGTTTTCTACAATTCTCACTGATCTTGTTGATGTCTGTTAGTTTTGAGGGTCTGTTGTAAAATCTGAGGATGATTCTGGATGTTCAGCAACACCAGGGTCTGTATTTAACTGACAGCTGTTTTAAAGACTACTATAACAAACTATGGATGCTTTTGCTTGCTGCTTCTGTCTTTGATGTTCAGGCTCATATATTTGTCTACTAAAACTAAGAGTTTTTGGAATTTAATAATTTTACTCTTTGCTGCATTCAGCTCTGCCCTCATGCCCTGTGACTCCTCCCACCTGGCTAAAGATCTCTCCATCCCACTCATCAACCAGTGGTCAACCATCACAAACAACCAACGTGATGTCAAACTCTTCCGCAGGTGAGCTTAAATAAACAGCACAGCTCTTTTTTTTTAAACATATTGTAATACATGCTCATCCAGACATGTTTGTGTCTTGGTGATATTCTGTGAAAACTAGGAGGAGCTTCCACAGCTTGGAGCAGCTTTCCGCTGAAGTCAGTCTGAACTCCGACTCTCAGAAGACTGATGGGAGGCAGAATGGCGACGCTGCCTGGACCTCTGCAGGTAATAATGTTTGTTGTAGAGCATTTTAATGTTACTCTAGTGATGATATTATCTTTCTGTTTTTGTAGACAGTATTTACTGTTAAGTAAAATGCAATTTTATGCAGTGGCAGAGTCGATTTTTATTAGCTGCTTTTATACTTAACAAAGTAACCATAATCCTGCTCCCTCCTCTCTGCACAGCTACATAAAAGCCTTTCAGAAGCAGCCACCCATACACATGGACATACATATTCATAACAAATGCAAGCTTGACGCCCATTTATAATGCCTCATGTGGGCAGCTTAAACTATGCATGATCACAAGTTGAATTTTATTGTGTTCTCCGTGTTATGTTCCTGCAGGAAAAGATAACACTCCTTCCATGCTGGGTCTGTGCGGCTCTTTGGCCTCTTTACCGAGCTCGAAGTCTCTGGCAAGCCTCAAGTCCAGTGAGTGTTTAGTCAACATCAGCACTGAACCCAGCCCTGCGCTCTCTCCCAGCTAGGAGCTTCAAGACCAACAACAGCCGAGATTGAACCCCAGCCTGTCTGCCTTGCTGCGTTGACCATGTCCAAACACCCTACCAAAACCCTGCTCTCATCTTATAGCCACCTCTATGGGATAACAACAGGATCTTATGACACCACATCTGGATTTTTGTATATGAGAGTGAAGTTGTCATGAAGCTAAAAGAGTCTCTCTCTTTTGGTTGTTTCCTTTCCCCTCACCTTATCTTTTCTTCATATCCCTCTTTGTATCTGTCAATCCCTTCATCTGAAATCATGCAATGCCTCCGGGAACACTTGTCAGACATTTTCCAAAGCATCCAGTCGCATCTAAATTTTCCCATCTTGCTCCTTATTTGAAAATCGGTATTCTTCTCATGGTATTCTCTGTGTATTTGTGCACCTTTGGCCATTTTTATTCCATTTTAAGTGGCAGCTCTTTGGATGCAGAGACAGATGTGATGATCATTTTAAGAGATGCAGATTATCCATATAAAGTCAGAGGGTGGGTGGTTAAACAGGCTGCCCTTATGGTGTCATAGCATCGAGACGTATGCTCTGTGTGACTGAACGGTATTAGGGTCTGTCACCCTTGAAAGTGCTTATCATTCCTGCCTGGCTAATCAAACAACACAAACATTTTCAGTAGGTTTAAATCTGTGCAGCTATTTATGGATTCTTTTAAGTCTTAAAGTACCGCATATGTTCATTTATCATCTCCAACAGTATGTTCTTTTTACACGTATGCAGTACGTTGAGTTATTTTGTTTTGTGTTGCAATAAATTGCCTTTTTCCATGAAGTGTGTCTTTTAGTGTGTCTTAGAAGGAACAGTGGCAAAAGCAATGTAGATGTTAAGTAGGGAGTTGCATTGCTGTGGCTCCATCTGCTGGTTAAATATATTATATAAATATCATATAACTTCTAAGCCTTTGGGTTCTGCAACAAATTAGAGTACTTGCATTTTCACACAAAATGAAAAAAACAGACTTTACTTCCTCTAAACGGATCAAAGCATCTTTTTAAAAATTCCAGCTTTGACATAATAACCTGCAAGAATTATTCTGCTGATGAGTGTTTGATAGAAAGGCTGAAACTTTACCAACTTTATAGTCAGTATTTCATGGCTGATGTAAGAAACAGTTGAAACAGTAGTAAAAGAATTCCTGGAGTTGATAACTCATGATAGACAGATCTGACTAGTCTATGCTGATCGTGGGCGTCCTGACATGCTTTGTCCTCACCAAAGCTTTTTTTGTTTTTTCAGAGGGCACCACAATCCTCCAGCAGTCACTCTGTGAAAAATTCTATCTACGTCACTGAAATATGGAGTTGTCAAACAGCTACACACCCAGTGATTAATTTTTGTCTATGTTATTTTCCCTGACGCAATAATTCAACATTACAAGCATAATCCTCATCAGTTCACAGGAACCTCTCAGCCCTTCAGCAAGCTTCCTGTGCTTTTGTTATGCTGCCAGGACATATTGCTGGGAACAAACAATGCCTGCAGGGACTTTTTAAGTAGCTCATTAACTTAATGTTAAGGTCTTTAAAAGTATATTATTATAATTTGCATCTATGTAGCATAAATAAAAACGTGTTCATATCATTTGTTTAGTCTGTAGATGCTCCCATTTGGCACATCAGTCATACTGAATAGTGCAGATGTTCCTCTATGATTAACTGCATTCCACAAGAAATTATACATTTTAATTATAACTCTGGCAGGAATTATGGATTATTTCAACTATATTTTGTGGTTATGATAGAATAAAAATGAAAAATCCAAGCAAATAGTTCAAAATCATGTAAACAGTGCACAAACCCGAATCCTGGTTCTTGTGTTGAAGACGTTTTTTATAGAAGGAAAAAAAGAATGGTGAAAATATCTGTTAGGAATATTGTATCAAATAAAATATTACTTTAATTTGTCTATTTCTGCTTAAGCCTGTGGAGGATTACCAACTTGCAAAACCTACAAGCACGTTGCTCTAAGGTTACTTCAGTGCCATTGCTTTATTCTGATATAATAGAGAAAATTGCCCTCGATCCCTTGAACCCCTGCAGTGACCTTTAGCGGTCCCTGAACTTTCTTTGAAAGACCACAAAGGCTCACACACACAGCCACACGTACACCCTGTGAATAGATTTAGGTTTGTACGTGGATTTTTAAAGGGAGGAGGGGATGGCGCATGCCCCGCATAGTGAAGGAAAAAAAATCTCAACAAAGTGGGTGGGAGCTTCAATTTTTTTTAATGCTTGGGGGGGCGGTGGCTTTCCTTTTAGGAGACAGATGGATGTGATGGCCAATAAGTGCTCAGTAATATTCTGCAGCAACCAACCACATCATCCTCCCTTGGAATTACATGCTGCACGAGATAGTTGCACAGGTTGAGTAGTTGTGTTGTCACTTTGCAGACAAGGGAAACAAGCAGCAATGTGACACAGGACCACTCAGACTCTGCTGGTGCCCTTTTCACTCTGCAGCATGAAGAATAATACGGAGTTTGGTATAATGCGTTAAACTGCAAAGCTCACTTAACACGCGTGTTTTTTCTTCTTCCCGAAACTAAGCAGTGAGGCAGCAAACATCATGGTCAACATCACAAAAGAAAGCTCGAGTAGTTTCTCCATCCAGAGGCCCGATCAGAGCTTTGGATCATCAGTGTGGATGAAGTGAGCGCGCTCAGTGAGAAAGCCCGTGAGAGCTGCAGTGAACGACGAGGAAAAAGAAAAGCAGGGACGACTGTTTTCATAAGCTGCGCTCGGCTGTGGGAGCCAAGTGGGGGGATGTCGAGCCGAAGTGGAGGAGCGCCTCGGGGGTGCAGCAACCCCAGCCTGCAGCCCCTTAGAGCCACAGTCCCATACCAGCTCCAGAGGGGCTCAGCTCTCCTCAGCAGAGAGGTCAAGACGGGTAAATACACACTCAGGAGGAGGGGGCTTGAATCTGCATTCACTTCCATGTGGTCCAGAGCTGAAAAGTTTGATTGTGCATCACTTAATCATCATTATTCCTTAGAAATGTGACCCAGTGGGGCAAAGGGTTAATGTTTTGTGGTTTTGATATATAGTGGATTTTATTCAAGCAAAAATATTGACTGTGTATCATCACAAAGGGGAACTGAGCCAGAGTGATTAATCATTAAACATGAATTGCTGGGTGATTAATGAAAACTGACCCTGCTGCTGTTTTTATCGTGGATGAATTAAGTTGTTCTTGTCATTTAAAAACTGCATATTTTTATATTTTGAAAAGCTGGTAAGACAAAACTGTGAATTTGTGGTGGGGGAATAGTTGCTATTTTCTGACATATTTAATAGGAAATGCATTATTTTTCAATTCCTCAAAGTACTCTGCAGTTTAATCAGTGCACCTTTGTAAAGATTCTTCCAGAAGTCTCTAGAACTGTTAATTGGAGCTCTAGAGGGAAAGCATGTAACACCAGGACCAGCTATTCATACACTGAATGATTAATGAACCACAGCACACTGAAGAAAAGCAGGAAGAATATTTAAGAAGCAAATACAAGAGACGACCATGCTTCTCACCCAAAGCCAGGGCATGAACTGTTTCAGTGTGCCTAACTATGCACCAGCCGTTTTACTTGGATTGTGCTCAAAAGAGCACAATTCCAACGTGCTAAGTCAACAATGAAGGCTGCTAGCCCTGAAACATAACACTGTTCTCATAATGTTATTTAGACACTCAGCTGCCCCTTAGCACTCTGACCTGTGGGATTCCTGCTGCATGCTTCATGCTAACACAGCAGCAGCTTTAAAGACCTCTTTGTTTTACTTTGAGTGCTTGTTCTTTCACTGTATCCACAAAACTCACATCTGCATGTTATTTATGTGTCCTGTCTGCCCTGCAGCATGGGCTGATGACAACATACTGTGGGTGTGCTTTTGGATTAGTTGTAAATGTACTAGCTGGCTGTGGTGAGTGTTGCCAGCGTTGTGTAGCTGGATGGCTTTGCTCCAGGTCAAAGGCATGGTCCACACCTGCCAGAGATACAAAACGCTGCCAACACGCACACATACACACTTGTTACACTCACACAGCCCTGTGGTCTGCACACTTATGGAAAGGAAGGAGGCTGTGAGCAACTGCCACTGGGGCTAAAGAGTTATTTACACTTACATGTCCAATACAGTGTCTTACTGAAGGCTAAACATGATTACACAGGCAGGAGTTCAATCCCTCTTCAGCACAGAAACAGTTTCGACATGTACTGAGTGGAAGCTTACACAGTCTCAACATGCCCCTGGCTTCTTTCTATTTTCTCTGTTTCCACAGCAGACAGAACCACGGCTCGTCCACCAAAACCCACCATCCGCCGAACTCTTTCTTTGGATGCGATTGTCGGACCCTATCTCCAGGGGCAGTGGCCCAAAGAGGCAGACGGGGCGGTAGTTAGCTGTGTCAATGATAAAGCCACGCAGGTAATGATTAATATATCCCGAAACCCCCAAATCTGCTATGATACTGTGATGGAGTTGCTATAATCGAATGAGCTTGGTCTCAATTAATCCCAGTTTGTTCTGTACCAGTGCTTCTGTTAGTGCAGGAACACAGTGTGAACCTGTTGAATCAATTGCATAAAAGGCAAACTTGTGTGTGCTGTGCTTCTCCTGGATGTTAACGATTTCTATAGAGGACAAGATATCTGATGTTAGCTCTGCAGGTGTCTGGTGGTTCCAGTTCGGCGCGGCGGGTGGAAGGCAGCCAACTGGAAATACTCGTTTTTGTTCTTCTTTTAAAAAAAAAATCTGCTTCTCTTCCCTCGCTGCTCCCCCCCCCCGACTGTATCTGCTCCTAACTAGTGCACAAAGCCTGGAGTAACATCGCCAAGCTCCGCAAGCTTCGTCTTCTCTCCTGACACAGTTTAAACCCGAACGAACCCCCTTTGCCTCCATTGTGAGACACAGGCCCCTCCTGACCTCATTATACAGGCACCCCATCCCCCAGCACTCCCCAAAAACCACACTAACACGTACTCAGCAGCACCCCACCCAGCACCTCCTTCTGCCATAGTTCCTCTGCATTATGTCAGATGATATGACTAGTTGTTTGGTGTTACTTCATTCTTTACTTTGCACACTACTGCACCTTTTTATTCCAGTCTGTGTTAGAATAATCACTTAGTGAATCAAATGAAAGTAACTGCAACCAATTAATCAATTAAATGTTTGAGGCAATTACATTTGATTTTAGTCTGAATTAGTGCCTGCAGCTCTTTGAGTTTTGTTGGCTTGTTTTTGAGCTAAATGCTAACATTATATTAACATGCTGACAGTCAACAATGTTTTAGCATTTTGCTAATTAGCACAAAGCTGATGGAATCTCATCCTCGTCATCCTCATCTTCGTTCGACTGCTCCCTTTAGGTGTTGCCACAGCAGCCAGCATCTCACCCTATTCTTTGCTTCCTCTTCTGTCACACCATGTCCTCCTTCACTACATCCATGAATCGTCTGTAGTCTTCCTAAATCTTCGACATCCTTTGTCCAATATGTCCGCTGGCCCTTCTCTGCACACGTCCAAACCATCTCAATCTTGCCTCTCTAACTAACTTTTAATCACCTTGGTGGTTAAAAATGATCTTGACACACTCAATAGTTGTTGAGATTGCAGATCTCATTAGAGTTTTCTTTAATTTGACCTATTAAAGTAGCAGCAGTTAAATATAGTAACCTTTAAAAATGAAAACTCTCTGATTGGGACTTCTTAAATCTGAGGTTCTGCATAAATGAAGAATTTTTTTTTTTTTATAGAATTAGCCCAAAATGTAAAGGAAATAATATTTTTTTCCACCTTGTTCACTATATTAAAAAAATAAATACCAAGCACATTTTAATCAGTGCCTCAAGCTGGAAATATTAGCCATGGAGACCAAGTGCTTTGGTACCTTGGGGTCTTTTTATAGGTTCGTGTTCCATGATCCCTTGTCCATGTTTTGGGGAGGGTGGGGTTTTTGATGTTGGATGGTGGGGGAGGTTGGTAGCCGTAACTCTACACCAATGCCACTGTATGACTGACTCATGCTGCTTTCGGACTTATTTAGCCTGGCGACAGAGTACGTATGAGTCGACTGAAGAGGAGATGATGTCGGTGTTTTTCTACAGGCAGTAATGGCACCAGTAAGACTTCCCTGAGCTGTGAGGCCGAGCACCTTGTGTTTCGGGGGACAGAAATTCACAATGCAGTCACGGTGCATGGTTGCCTGTGAGTGGCTTATGAATAGACTGGACACCAGGGAGTGGATCAGATTCTTTGAAAGTGTGTGAAGCAGTTGACCCTAAACGTGGAGGCACCAGAACCTAGAGTATCGGATCCTGTTGCTTAAGTTGACCCGTGTGATGATGAATGTCCAGTCTACTGCATACAACCAACAGTCAGCAGCAAACAACCCAGCTCCCACTGGTAGAAGATCAAGAGTCAATGTGAAGAAATCGGTACGGATATAGGAGTGAAAAGGATGTTACAGAGTTGTGACTGACAAAGGAAGAAGTGCACTAAAAAGTCTGCTTGCTGGCTGCTTTTTGTTTTTCCTCAACAGTGTGTGACTTTGTGAATAACAACAAATAACTTATTTGTGTGTGTAAGTGCACTGAGGTGTTGAATGCACTGTATTTATAGTTTTTACACTGATGTGGTTTGGATGTTTTTTTATGAGAGTGTAAGCCGGGCTGTTTTGCAGCTCATAGTGGTTTCTTGTCGCCTTCCGCTGTACAGCTGTTGTGGGGCAGGTGTGCAAGACAGCTGTGGGGCTCAACTTAAGTGTTGTGCATACGAGTGTCGAATGGAGTTTGCTGGTTTTGGCAAAAAAAAAAAATAGAGTGGGTCTCCAAAAAGGTCGCCCTTTCTGACAGCCAGAATTACTGCCAATTAGGCCATTTTCTACCAGAGCCCCTCAACAGCATGTCAGGCAAAACACTGGATGCCTTATTTATATATGCTCTCTCTCTTCCTTTTTTTTTTTTTTTTTTTTTTTAAGACTCCAAGTTCCTGGGCAGAGGAAACCCGGGGAAGACGAAGTGCTGGTGGGCACAAGCGCTCAGCTTCTTGGGGCAGTGCAGAGCACCTAAGGGAGGCAAGTATTGTATACACTAAAGCAGTTAATGAATCATTTCTTCTATTTCTCTCACATACCCACACTCTTCTTCTCTTTGGCCTCCCATTGATAGCCTGAAACAAAAGGGTTCCTTCAGGGCAAACTTTGAACCTTAACCTTGAATGAATCACAATGACCCCTGAATCATTTTTCTCTCCACTCTGCCCTCAGGTGGCCAAGCTGAGACACCAGTTGCAGAAGCGTTCCCGCCATGTCCCTCCCTCAGCAGGATGCGAGCTCCCCCCCCACCCCCTGCCTGCAGGTCATGCAGCAGGAGTCACTCAGGTAGCCTTTTGTCCAATTAGGATATTAAAGGACACATACAACAAAGTTTTCATGATTGCTCCCAATGCCAGACTGTGTTCCACAGGCAGACGAGGAGGAGCTTGGTAACAGGGATATAAAAAACACTTCTTTTTTTAGTACTGGCTGTCATCAAGTCTGCCGTGCTACTGCCATGCTGTCTCTGAAAGACAGTTTGAAACGAGCATATCACTCTGTACTGTTCACATGCACTATTAACAATTGCAATAGTGAAAAACCAGATAATCAGGCTTAGGCTACCTCAAAATTTGTCCGTATTATACTCGTTTCTCCTCAGACGATGCCGCTGATGCCGCTGAACAGACTTGCTCCACGGCTGCGACGGAGCGTCGAGGGCCTCAACTTAGAGCTGGAGGAAGTGTTTGTGTGTGAAAAACAAGACGATCAGCATGAGGTTAGGGCACTGAAACTTGCTTATACGTAAAACCAGAAAGGTTTTAATATCAAAAGGTTATAAGAACTACCAGTATCAACCAATTTATAGTGCAGTTGCTTTTCTCATCAAAATATCTGTGTGCCATATTTCATCACTGGTCACTTCATTAGTTACACCTTGCTAATACCAGGGTGGACCGCCTTTTGCTTTCAGAACTGTTTTAATTATTCATAGCAAAGATTCAACAAGGTGCTGGAAACATTCCTCAGAGATTTTGGTCCATACTGACATGAAAAAAAGAAAAGGATCGTTATTCACATTCACTTCAGTGTTATTATGCTAAATTTTCATTTATTTGCTTCTAAATTTCACAGATTTTGGATATCCCAGATGGCCACAGAGCTCCCGCCCCTGCCCAGAGATGCAGCAGTGGCTCTCAGAGTGACCCCTCACCGGGGCCACTGGATCCTTCCCTTCTTTCTCCTTCTCAGTCCCCTTGTATTCTTGATACGTCACTTCTGACACCTTCAGGTTCACCTTGTCCTTTGAATCCATCACTTTTATCCCCATCCCAATCTCCCTGCACCATGGGAGAGCCAGGTTAGACAGGCTTACATTTCCTGTTTTGCAGTGCTTTATTAAACCATAAATGGATATATTTTTGAAAAATAATAATACTACAGACAGAGATTTGCTTTAATTCTGGTATTGTTAGAGAAAATCTCTCTCTCTTTATGCAGAGCCTGTGGACTATGAGATCTTGTGTCCCTCTCCATCAGCATCGCTTCCTTCATTTGCACTGGATCCTCCTCTGCTGCAGGCCTGCTCCTCTTCGCCTCGTCCCAACAAAACCTACTCTTTTCAGCGCGAACCGCCAGAAGGCTGTGAGCGAGTTCGAGTGTGTGAGGAAGCAGTGTAAGTACACCAAAGCATCATGCATAGATCATATCATGCAATTATTTCCTACTTTCTATACCACAAATTTACTTTTGTACCCAACTAAACCCCTCCCACAAGTACCATCAGAGCAAAACAGGATGTCATTACCACTCCAAATCAAGTTCAGATCACAAGACAAAAGGCACACGTTGTAATCTTGGAGCCAGTAATGACAAATAATGTTGCAAAAGTTTTATACAAATTTATTATTTATGTGTATTTTTGTAACAGCTTGCTATGCATTTACATGTGGTCCCTTATGAATTTAACATTTCCAGGTTGAGCACCAAGTGTCCACCACTTTGATGAAATTTATGCCATTTTTCCAGTCTCTTCCAGTCTGAGAGGTCTCCAAGGAGGATTTGTTTTTAAATGTAACTTATTTACATTAAGCCACGTGACACGTGAAACAAGTACAAACTGAGGCCGTAACATTGCATTTGCAGGGGAATCATTATATAAACATAATGTATATACAAATAGAAAGAACTTGGATTTATAGGAAATTTTTCCTTAAAAAAAAACATATAGATGATAATAATTCCTATATGTGTGGTGATATTTATACAAAGTTTTGTTGAGATTGGCCCACCCGTTAAGGAGGACATAGTTATCTAGAGACATAAATGCATATATAATCTATGATTATTTAAGTAAGATGATGTTATTTGCACACTGTACTTGCTATCAAATTATGACACCATCTGAGTTTAGATTGGTTCCCTATATGCCACGTTTTCATCTGTTAATTCTGTTTGTCACTAAGTATGAAATATACAGGAAAAATGAAGCCTTGATTGTGTTACCGAATTAGGATGACTTATTATTTGTGGCACATTAATTGCAATAATATTGGCATCCTTATTTGATATTCTGTAGAAAAATCTCCAGTCACTATATCAGCAGAAACAGATGAAAAAGCATTTTATCCTACACATTTGTGGGATTCCATAGTGTGTTGATTAGCAAAATTGCCTAATGCCCAAAGGTCACAACTCGGAGGAAACGCAAACCCAGCCTCAGGAGGTCATGAGTCAGTATCTGCCTTGGAGCAGTCCCAAGTCTGGATAAATGAGAAGGTTACATCAGAAAGGACACCTGGCCTAAAAATGTGTGTTAAATCAACTATGCGGCTCAATGCATTATGACAACCTTAGAAAATAAGCTAATTTATACACTTTTGAAGAAAACAGCTTAAATTAGTCTCGTCAGAATATCAGTGCACACTTGAAACCTTCTGATCTTGTGTGACAGTTACTTTTCACTGAATGATTTAATGGAATTGAAGGGTTGTAGAAGTTGTTATTATGGTGCTATAAATATGTAACTACATATAAAGCCGTGGATGCTGTGTTGCAGTATGGGGGTTCATGCTTCTATCTCTCCATCTACAGCTCTGCCTATCAGGATGAGACTCTCCTCCAGTCATCCTGCCCTGACCCCAATAAAGTCAACTTCACCCCCCACGGAGGCTCAGCTTTCTGCCCGGTCAGTCTTTTGAAGCCCCTCTTGCCCTCCATGGACCTCCTCTTTCGTGGCCTGTCGGTATCTCCCGTCACTGGCTGCTCAGGTCAGGCCTCTCCTACCAGGCACCTGGGCATGCAGTAGGTGGATATCTGAGCAGTCTCTCAGGACTGAACCACATTGCACTGCCAGGACAAGCAGAAACTGGATGTGATATATATATTTTTTTTAATGCATCGTGACAATGGACAGTGTTGCATCACTGCTGTAACACGCCATCATCACTGTGATCAAAATAACCTTTGTGACTGTGAAGATTTGTTGCTGTCATACTTTAGAATAACTGTGGCCTAAATTCTGCCCGCTTTATCTTTTGTTTTGGTTTTTTTTATGTTTTTTTTCCACCTGCAGGAAGCTTTGATTCAGCTGATATTTACCTCATCAGCACTTAAACTGTCCTAGTATTCAACCGTATGAGGCATGGATTAGACTGCAGGATTTAAGTTGTGGAAATGCTTGAAAAGCTTTATAAATACTTGCGTTTATTAAATCATTCTTTTGCATTAAAATTGTTCTAGTTAGAGACCGCAGTCTAGAAGGGATGCTTTTATTTTTCATCTTGAAACGTGAGAATTTACTGTCAAAAACCCTAGCACTTAGAACACACACTGGTACAGGTTTTGCCTTCTTACTATCCAAACAATTGATGGGTTTTGTAGTCGAGTATTGTTGATTTTAGATAAACATCCAGCTTAATTTGTGAGGGTTAACTGATGAAAAACAAAATATTTGTTGAATTTTATATATATATATATCTCTGTTTGAAATATTTTTGGCTTAAAGTTTCCAATGTCCTACTTTTCTACAGATGTGTTTCAAGGGAGATACATATTTTTATGTCCTTATAAGAAGCACACGATACTGCTTCTGTTTTCACTGTTCTGACTTGTGCTGTTTTATAAGCAGACATTTTGTAGCTTTATTTGCCTACAGGGGGCTTTGTTATAACCAAACTATTTTTAATAACTAGAGCAGGTCGCAGTGTTTGTCAGTTTGAGCCTTTTTTGAACCCTGGAGTTTAGACCACAGTGTTAGTGAAGAGCTTGACTTCCCTTTGATTGAATTATTATTCAGTTGTGTTTTTTCAACATAATAAATGACCTACATGATAAATGGGGAGTAAACGTCAACGAAGAATTTTTCAGCCTTTTTTCTTTTTTTTTTTTTGGTATTCTTTTTACGTGATAGCAGTTACTGTTACCTGTGCTGTTGCCTGTGTAGAAAACAATAAAAGAAAATTGTTTTGGGGGCGTTAAAATGCCTTCTACGGTAATTATAATTCCTGTGGTTATTTTTTGTTGTCGTGTCTGCATTTGACACGTGTGTCTGTGGGCTTTTAAATCTAAACCCTCCCTCCTTTGCCAAATCAGCTTTGTGATTGGCTTAAAGCGGCTCCATAGTTCTTACACGGACCAATGAATTTAATCCACATCCTAGGACGACAAAAGGGCACGCGACATTTTCAAGAAAGGACCTCGGCTTTTTAAATAGCTGCCTCAAGTCACGACTAACCATTAAAGGTTAACGCGAACACCAAACGATCACAGAAGAGGCAGCGTTTTGTTTGCAGGATTGGAGCGGCGTATATTAAACACGTTATTATGCCTGTATGACTCAGGGTAGTTTTATTAAACTTAATATAAGCGTACAGGCTCAGGTGCTGACACCTAATGGGTCCTTTTAGAAGATAACTTTTCCTGCTAATTGCAGGTTTTAATTTCCCCAATGAAAACCCGAGCGGCACATTCTTACCGTTACTCGGGTGTGAAAAACGGGATGCTTTTAATATAGCAGCTGCACAGCTAGAAGGCCCTTCTGTCTGGGGTGATATAGGGCAACCAACTATGGCATGATACTCGAATCTCAAGACAAGAGTTGGAAAGCTCCGGCAAATAAGATTTACTGCGATATATCACCAAGTCTTCCAGCTGGTGCATAATCCACAGCCAACGTAAACACGCGAGCGCCATTTCCGGGCTCGTGATAGCGGCTATAGTGGAGCGAGAGGTCGGAGCGAGAGGAGCGGGAAGTGGAGCGGTGGTGTCGGTTAACATTCCCGGGGTGGTCGACGACGGCATGGCAGCGGGAAAGGGAGCTGGGAAGCCCGCCTGGCTGTGGGACAATATGAGGTTACGGTTCATCGTTTGCTTCTTCGGAGTCTTCGTGTGCTACTTTTATTACGGAATATTGCAAGAGACGATGTAAGTAACAAGTAACGAAGCTAAACTAGAGACATTGTTATGCTGCTGTGAACCAAAACTCCCTTCAAAAAGCTGCCGCTTTAATATTGCTATGCATACATTAAAATTTTAGTTGGAGTTTGGTTATAGTTTTGTCTTTAGAAAAAAAATCACAGTTCTCATAATCGTAATCATATGAGCATATGACCTGAAGCACTGTCTTTGTAGATCTCCAGATCTGTTAAGTAAAACTAAATACAGTACTGCAGCAGTATCCCCCCTTTTTGATTGATTGATTTATTCTTACATATTTGTCACACCTAAATTTCACTATTAGACAAAGATGACCCATGTAAATATAAACCGTCATTTTTTAACTTGTTATTTAATTTATTAAAGGGGGGGCTATCAAACCCTACCGGGCTCTGCAAAAGTAATTACCCCCTAAAACTAATAAGCGGTTGTGCCAACCTTGGTAACAAGAACTGTAATCAAGTATTTGTGATAACTGGCAATGACTCCTTTATGTCACTGTAGGGCAGATATTGCTTTCCTCACTGTTCTTTGTAGAATTGGTTTGACCACATTAAATGGTTTTTTGAAAATGAATGTCTGTTTCAGGTCAATCTGAATTAAGTCTGGACTTTGACTAGCAGCTTTTAGCAGCTCTGAGGTGGACTTGCTGGTGTGTTTCAGATTATTGTCTTCCTGTTTAACCCAAGTGAACTTAAACTGTAGGGCACAAACTGATGGCTGGACATTCTCTATGAGGATTTTCTGGTCGAGCAAAATTTGCGGTTCCATCAATTAGAGCAAGTTGTTCTGATCATGAAGCAGCCTCAGGTCATAACACTACCACCACCATGTTTGACTGCTGCTGTTATGATGTGTTAGTTTTACATCAGATAAGATGGGATTCAAACTTTCTAAAAAGTTGATCTTTTGTCAGACAGGATCTATTTAAGCAATTTCTTTATTCAACGGGTTTGGCCTGGGTGTGACTAGTGAAACTGGGCTCAGCTTTCAAACTGCGGTAATCAGAGTTAACTTGTGGTTTAACGATAAATGGGCGCAATTACTTTTTCACACAGGTTTGGCTCTTTTTGCCTTAATAAATTAAATCATGGTTTTCTCTGGTTACCGCTGACTAATATTAAAATTTGTTTGATGAAATGAAACGTGTGTGAGAAATATGCAAAAGAATAAGACATCTGGAAAAATTCTTCTCTGAAGAATAATTTTTTTATTTTTAGTCTATCTTAAAAGCAAAATTCTGCATTACACAGACTTTTGTTTTTGCGTTGTTTTTCTTTTTTGGGGAGTATATTTAAAAATCTCAGAGATTTACTGGTTCAGGCATAAGTTTTTGCAAAAGAGACATTTTAGTTTCATGTATACTGTTTCTCCTATACATGCAACTTTAAAATCTGCAGTCTGGCTTATGTAAAGTAAGCAGAGCTCTGCCTGTGTTCTCTTTCACATACTGAGAAAGGACACAGATGGTATGCTGTCAACAAAGGGTACAGGAATACTCTCTGGTTTCAAAATGATGACTTGAAAATGCCATGTGAGGTGAAGCGGCACTTCTACAAACCAATGTCTGACTTTTATTACATGTTATTACATGTTGTTATGAATATGGACATATTATCTTCAGATTAGCCCACTAAAAACAATTGCAAACTGACACCAAGTACTCAAGCAAGACAGCTGCTGAAAAAACTTTTGGTCCACTAACAGACTGCTACCCTCACCACACCCCTCTTTCACTCTCCTTTTCTGAATGCCCTTTTCACAGCTAGGAGACACATGAAACCACTCAGATGTTTAACCTAGCTATTTGCATGCTCCTGCCAAGACGGGTCTGTTGTGTTCAACATGCTGTTGCTCTCTGTTTTCTAGCACTCGAGGTGATTATGGTCACGAGAAGTTCAGATTCGCCCGTACGCTGGTCTTCATCCAGTGCATCATCAGTTGTGTCTTTGCAAAGATCTGTGAGTATGTGCTGCACAAAATGCACACAAAAACTAATAACAGTGGTTAAAAGACTCCACTGACTCTGCTAGGAAACACCTGAGAACAACACCAGTCGAATCTCTTGTATGTTAACTTCTCTGCCTAATATTTAAAATAATGTAATGTTGTGAACTTTTTTCTTTAATTCTCTTTTAATAATTAGTGATCCAGTTTTTTGAGAGCTCCAAGCCAGATCACACGAAGAGCTGGCTCTATGGCCTGTGCTCGCTCTCTTATCTTGGAGCCATGGTGTCCAGTAACTCTGCCCTTCAATATGTCAACTATCCCACCCAGGTGAGTATGCCCTATTTAAATGGGTCAACAGTAACTGGTTATGTGTTTTTCTTTTTTCATTGTATGTGTATTTGTGCTTGAGCCTTGCATATTCTATAACTGCGTTTTTGTTTGATAGGTTTTGGGGAAATCCTGCAAACCCATACCAGGTAAATCGAACAAAAATAAGTGTTGTAGTGTTGCTTTTTAAAGTGCTTTCTTTCACCATATCATTTACATAATATTTTGTCACTGCTTACTTTTGTTTCCGTAGACAACAGTCTGTCTGTACTGACTAATTCAGAAAGTGTACAGTATGCAGGGTGTGTATGAGGAAATATACAAAGTCAAATTATTTACTTTTTTTTAAAGTGTAGGCTACCAAACAAACACGAGTGATTCTGAGGTCTTTTCTTACAGATTAGGGACACATTTAGTTTGAATGTTCTTCTTAGGCATGTGGAGCTGAGAGCCTGCTTTGCATATTACAGTATGTCCTGTTTATACATGAAGGTTAACTCTCACCCCTCACAGCTTGGTTATCGCTTGAATTCTGTTTCCTTCCATATGTTTCACTCTCAGGGCTGAAGTTTTGACACGCTGTCCAGGCTGGTATCAATCGGCTTCATATTTCTGTTATTGTTTCCTTGCAGTGATGATCCTCGGTGTGACAATACTGAGGAAGAAGTATCCACTGGCTAAATACCTGTGTGTGTTGCTGATTGTGAGCGGTGTTGCTCTTTTTCTCTATAAACCCAACAAGAGCTCTGCTGTTGGTGATGACCATATTTTTGGCTTTGGAGAGATTCTGCTGGTGAGCTAACACATATTCTGTTCATTTCACCTATTTGTCCTCATATGCTGCCCATCTGCTTGCATCTCCCTCGTGTCCTCACGGGTGCTTTGACTTTCCCATTACTTTCATCTCACGTCTCGGTGTTGTGTTTTGCTGCATCATAGCTGGTCTCTCTGACATTGGACGGTTTGACTGGTGTGGCCCAGGACCACATGAGGGCTCGCTTCCAGACGGGTGCGAACCACATGATGCTGAACATCAACATGTGGTCCAGTCTGGTGCTGGGACTAGGTGAGTCTCACATCTAATAGAATATGTGTCAGGAGCATGCAGGCTCTCATTCCAACTGAAAATACATCTGGCCATTACACTGATTTGCTCACCTGCAGCTAGAGAGGAGACACTAATGAGCAAACTCACCTTGGTGTGGTTCAGTACTGCCAACACTGGTGAATATATGGTTTCAAAGCTTTCTTTATGAATAATTATCTAAGAGCATAGTACCGGTTTAAGGCTTTTGAAGAAAATTTCTTATGGTGCTATAATATTTATAATTAACAAAAAAATTTTGATTAAAGATAAGAACAAAATATCCTATGTTTAATGTAGTTTTCTTCAGGTGCTTTTCCACTCAAAACTTTTTAAACACCAATTCAAAGTGAAATCACCTCATGGTGATTTTGCATTTACAAAAGTACCATAAGGTGTAGTGCTGTGTTCCTAAGGTGATTTTAATGTGAGTTTGGTATATTTTATTCTCATTCTGGATTCTGACATGAGCTCCAGGATGAATAGCGGGTGTGATGAAGTAGATGGTAGCAAGAAGTTTAAAAAAAAAAACCCTCAAACAGAACCAATAACAGCTGCATTAGAAGCAGAAAATGTGTGCACTTTTCCCTCAGGAGGCAAAAACTCATTAATTCAGTCAAGGCATAGTGCGGAGTGTTATCTTTTTAGATAAGAAATCCTCCACCTCAAAGCCCTCAGTTCTGTTAGCAGATTGCTACA